CCAAAACCACACAAAGACCCAACCAAGAAAGAGAATTACAGACCAATCTCACTCATGAACATCGATGCAAAAATTCAATAAAATTCTGGCAAACAGAATCCGAGAACACATTAAAAAAATTATCCATTACGATCAAGTAGGCTTCATCCCTGAGATGCAGGGCTGGTTCAACATACAAAAATCAATGTAATCCATCATATAAATAAACTGAAAGAAAAAAACCATATGATCATTTCATTAGATGTGAAAAAAGGATTTGACAAAATTCAACACCCCTTTATGATAAAGGTCTTGGAAAGATTAGGGATACAAAGGTCATACCTAAATATAATAAACACAATATACAGCAAGCCAACAGGTAATATCAAATTAAATGGAGAGAAACTCAAAGCCATTCCACTAAAATCAGGAACAAGACAAGGCAGTTCACTCTCATCATATCTCTTCAACATAGTGCTTGAAGTTCTAGCAATAGCAATAAGACAGCATAAGGAGATCAAGGGGATTCGAATCAAAGGAAGAAGTCAAACTTTTATTATTTGCAGATGATATGATAGTGTGACCCCAAACCTCTACCAAAGAGCTCCCACAGATGATAAATAACTTCACTGAAGTGACAGGTTACAAAATCAACTCAAAAAAATCAGTAGCCCTCCAATACACAAAGGCTAGAGAAGCAGAGAGGAAATTCAGAGAAACTTCACCTTTTATGATAGCCACAAACTGCATAAAGTTTCTTGGGGTAACTCTAACCAAGGAAGCTAAAGATCTATTTGACAAGAACTTTAAGGCATTGAAGAAAGAAATCGAAGAGGACACCAGAAAATGGAAAAACCTCCCGTTCTCTTGGATGGGTAGGATCAACATAGTAAAAATGACATTTCTACCAAAGGCAATTTATAAATTCAACGCAATCCCCATTAAAATCCCAATAAAATTCTTGACAGACCTTGAGAGAACAATAATCAACTTTATATGGAAAAGCAAAAAACCCAGGATAGCCAAAACAATCTTATACAATAAAGGAACTTCTGGAGGCATTACCATCCCTGACTTCAAACTCT